GTGCAAATCATTATCACAATATGTATAGAAGTGTCACTCACATATAATGTTTAATTAATAACTTGATATCCCCACAATTTCAATACAGAACTTACATCACAGTACATAATGTACTTGCATAACCAGTCGCATTAACGTTGGGGGAAATCTGTTCTGAGGAAATGAATGGCGGTATACGGGTTTGGAGGTTTAACGGGTGTCATTACAACGGGGTTTTACTGTCCATACTTTAACAATAAACCCAGTCAAAATTTTAAAGCAGATTTCGGGACAAGATAGAAATATTGAAAAAGGGTGATAACTCTTTTAAAGTTAGTTAAATCCCAAAGTGAAAGCACTACTTGGTCATAATAGTAAAGCTTGCATGTCTTCAGGACGGAAATCCGAAATCACCAGACAAGATTTAAAAGCTGGAAAATTCTAAAGCAATAATCCTTCTTAATAGTAATAAATCATACCTAGTCATGCTGAATCATGGAGGATGATAATTATCAATATTGATATCGCCCATTTTGTTCTTTTATTTTTAATGCTTCTTAGTTTTCCCCATATGGTTAAAGTTTCACTACGCCAAAATGCTACATTAAATTGGTTTGACACAAAATAGAAGATGCTTACCTTTTCGGGGAATTCTGTAGTTTTCCCTTCCTGAAGATATTTTATTAAGTTAACAGTTTCTTTACCTTTATTGGTTTTAAGTTTAAACTACAATTTGGTTGTGGTCTATTAAAGGGGGGATGCGAAGTGCCCAGACTAGTGCGATATTGGCAAGTAAGGCTAACTAACGGTTATCAATCAAACTAAATATTGTTGATGCTTTAAGTTTGGAACATACCAAAGTCCTTATATTGCATAGTCTTCTCTGTAACATTTGCTTATTTACCGCTTGTCAAGTTAAGTGGCATTTCTGCATTACTGTATAATGCATGTATTGTCAAATCAAGTGAACCTACGTTACCGAACCATATTCTAAACATCCTCATATGACATTTAATCTTGATGGTACAATGAGCTTAAAATATGCAATGTAGCAACATCTACTTAGGCTCTGCTTTCACACAAACCTTCAAAAATTGAATATATTCGACTTCTTAAAAACATGGGGTCAATTGAAATCAAAAGTTTTACTAGTGTTTAAAATAATTTTCGAAATCATATGTTGTTTCTCAAGACTATCTGAAATCAAAGAAGGTTGCCCTACCTAAGATTTGTTCCCAATCATTCAATTTTCAATTGACCGTGTGAATGCAGGGTCTACGTTCAATGTCACAGTTTTAAAGCATAGTGTTATGATTTAGATAGTAGCTAATCTGAATGGCAGGCTATCATGCTTGTGCAAATAATGATTTTTCAAGATTGTAAGGCTAAAGGAATATTTAAAATTCCATAATCAATAATAATTTCATAACCAGTAGACAAAGACTGTGATTTCCCGGAGATCACTTGCTATACAAGCTGTATATTTGTGTCAGTTGGCTATTCCTTATGTGTATATCTCGCTGTGAATACAGCATTATACATTTCAGCTCTCCAAACAAGAAACTATATATCTCCTGTCACTGGTAGGGTCTGTGAGCCTTTTTTTTACTAAATTATGTAAGGATGGTTAATTGATTAAAATGATAAGTCTGGTCATGCGTTTTGTCTGCAGCAACAATATAACAGTTATGTAATTCATTACAAAATATGAATTATTACTATACTTAACAAAAGTGTATCATTCAGTTATTGTGGGTTTTCATGCGATAAACACATGCAGTACATCGCATATGCATACTGCAGATCACATTTTCAAATAAAATAAAACTGAAATAAAATAAAAAAAGGATTTCGCAAAGGATTAAAATGAAAATCGATATTGATAATTTTTCAAGGAAAATGCATAAAAAATGTGGCGCTACAGTCTAATTCCACGTACATACACATAAACTGTTGTTTTTGAGCATAGTCCAATCAATTAATCAATACAACATTTTTAAGATCAGATGGCAGAACTGATTCAGTACTTCCAGTACTTTGATATTTAATGAAAACCAAAAAGGGAAGTGGAAAAGAAGATCCAAAAAGTGGGCATTTCCCGTGAACCATCAACACAAGTTTTATATGCTAAAAAGATGAGTTATTAAAGAAAATTGTAAGTGTGGAAGTTTGATGGAACCCGAGTTTTATCTTGTTAATACTCTTACAAAAACAAAACTGTCAAAAATTGAAAAGTCATTTTATGGGAGCAGATTTACATGTTTATGGTTATTTGCGAAAAATTGGTATAACATATGGCCAATTGTTATATATCATTTCAAAGGTGATTGTTTATGTTACTTAAATGTGCAAGCAGATTGCAATTATGTTTTTGTTATTGCCACACTGATCCTATTAAAGTCACATGGGGAGGTAAAATTCGCTGCAGTCAAACTTGCTGTCGAGATGAAGTTTAAGCCTTGTTTTTCAGTTGTTCAAATTAATTGATTTACACGAAAACATTCAAAAATTATCGTGGGCCGATTTTCACCTCCTATGTAACACCTCCTTTCTGCATCGTATTTTGTATTGAAATGTTTGCTACATGTAAATACAAAACGTAATGAAAACCGTAAATATTATTTTCAGTGGTATTTGTAATAAACCAATGCAAAATAAAATAGCTTTTCCTCAAACGATGTTATAATTTATTTTTATTTTTCATTGTACGAGAACACTTGGCTATGCTTGTTTGTATTTTCTATAGTGCACAGGTAAAATCTGATCAGCGTAAACAGAACTTAGAGGATCAGATCACTAAGGAACGCGATAGATCGATTCTTTGCAGCTGTTCATGACATCATCATATGACATGAGACGCGATAGATCTTGGAGATGCCCCTAATTAGCATTTGAATGATAAGTCACAGTGATTGACTCGCTAAAACGAACATTTTGTCATGATGTCTGGAAGGGGAAATTTGACTCCTATGACGGGATCTGTTCATATGTAAGTGTATATGTTGAAACTGCCATTCATTGGAGTTTTAGTTCCGGTCGACAAAAGTGTAACATATGGCAAGTAATTCTGTAATCCTTTCGTACGCATGCGTACCAATGAAGATGTACGGGCGGTCGCTACAAACTGATGATAAAAAAAAATCGCACCTAGAGAACTGATTGAGTTTTTTATAACAACGATAAAAATTGATAACATCAATAGTAAAGGTACGATACATTATTAACTAAGTGAAGTAACTGACGTCCTTATACACATAAAGGTATGATTGTCAAAGTGAAAAAATAACCTAAGCTACATATGTAGGAACCGTTTCATTCAGGAAAATAGAGAAAATGGGGAGTTAGATCAATTGACGAGCGGGATGGGGTGCGGAAATAACTAGGCTACTTACATCATTTATCGTTTACATAATCAGTTCATCATAGTTCTTTAGATTTCGAAAGAGCACATCAGCTGGAGAAGAAAAAAAAAACCTGCCATGTAATTGTCACTGATAATTAAATTCTGCAAAGTATCAGGCATGCACTTGGGCAAGTCTACAGTACCTGACTGTAGATGGGGATTCCCAGAGTACGAAATGACGTCAGAGAAACAATGGATAAATATAGGCAGTCAATTATCGGCGGTGTTGTATACGAAGGCAGTTCGTAATTTGCAGAAATAGTCCCGTTAATATTAGTATAATTACACCAATATGATGAATGAAAGCTGACATTTAATTTATATTGGTTCGGTTTACTATGCTGGGGAAAAATGCCGATGTTCCTGCTGCAGTAAAAATGCAGATTATCCATTCTATTTAAAATACGAGTGCGTAGAAATCTATGTGATATAACCAAGACATTTTAGACTTGCGCAAGTCATAAATAATAAGAAGTGTGTTACACAAATATTGTTAAA